CACACACACACACACACACACACACACACACACACACACACACACACACACGCTATCACGCAGGTAGTACATCTACTGCCTGAGCATTGCATATGTGTCTTGTTTCTCGCAGCAGTTTCATGAATATTAACCTGGAGGGGCTTGTCTCCTCTGTGTCCGGCCGAGGTCCAGGTGCCGAGGAGGTGACTCCAGGCCGCTAATGAATATTAATGAGCTGTGAAATGGTGATTGATTGACCCCACCGCCGACTGGCCTACGTCAGACTTGACTGCCACTCATGTTTATTCATTATTTGGAGAGGGAGTGTAAAGAGGGGGACAGAGAGCAGGAAAGAGAGCGTGGAGGGGTTGTCATTGAATGGATTGGCATTCTACATTAGGTTTATGTCTGCAGCTTAGTGATAGATGAAGCTAGTTGGACACTTTCCCAGTCTGAGCTCCTTCTCATGTCCTCTCAAATGCTGCTGTGGTGAGGCTATAATTGAATCTCACAGGATTCAGCTAATACAAGGAAGGGCAATGATACTGCAGAGGAGCCTGTATTCCCATCCCTCCCTCTCTAAAAAAAAAAAAAAGATATGGAGCAGGAGTTTAATTACAGACATTGTTGAAATTAATAGGAAAAGTGTCAAACAGTGTTTAAAAGAATTGATCCTCTCCAATCGCAGCGGCTGCAGATTGTTTTGTGTGGATGATAGAATTAGGAATGGAGAATGTGCTGAGGAAATAAATAATCAGAATTATTGATGCTCTCTAACTGAGTCATCCCTCATTAGCTGTTGATGAAACCTGACAAATACTATTTGGAAACAAATCAGGAATCGACAAAATCTTGAGATTGACCTTTGAGAACATATTAGGTAGTGACGTCCTCTCTCATCTGTCATGTGTGTTTGATCCATGACATAGTATATCCAATAACTATTATAACATGTTGCTCTGCTGGTCTGCTCAGTCTGAATCCTCAAGGTGAAACTGCATGTGCATTTTACTGACATTTTTCTGTTCCCAAAGCAGACGGGAGGAGAATCACAACATATGCCATCACCATGCTGAAAGTCACTTTATTGCTTTGCAGTCGGTATGTTGCACTATATGCAAATACTATGTAAATATTTTAGCACACATTGTCAAGAACCGCACTTCATGTTATGATGACAATCAGGTTTTCATCAGTGTGAGCTTAACATGGTTACTGTCTCTTTAGTCTGCATGTGTGCACATATCTGAGAGGCTTATTCCACTTTTTCAAACAAGATGAGTCTCCGTGGGGAAATCCTCCTTTCTCAAGCACACAAATTAAAAAGGCTCCGAATCATTCATTTTCCTGGGTTCTTTGCTTCTCGGAGATACACTTTCACAACACTAATAGAAGGTTTATTATTTCTAAATTAACCTCGTACTAGAAATCCACCATTAGCATATAGATTGCATGTTGTTCAATGCCGGTGTTTATTCTCTGTACTCTGTCATATTGTCCTTTCATTGTTTTTGATTCAATAATTTCAATATCAGATGTTTTTTTATGTCTGTGAATAAGAGGAATTACAAATACTCAGCAAATAATCGATACATATAATGTATTATGTGGTATTGGAACAAGGACGAACAGAAAAGATGGTCTTGTCCTATTGAACATGTGTTTTAGATGTCAAAGACATCACTGCTTCCTCCTGGGGAAAGCAAACACAAGACACATAATCAATACCTTTTGCAAATTTAATAACAGGAATTTCTCCTCCTGAGTACATGTCAGTTTCAATCTGGCAGCTGAACTACATCCCAATCATTCTTGCCTTAAACATTTGAACCAGCGAGTTTCTCATGTAATTAATTCCCCCTGTTCTGAGAGGTTTAGAGTGACGGGTAAACCAGAGGGAGCATTCTTTTTCACCAGTCCCCCTCCTCAAGTTACCTCTTTACACTGCTTTGGCTCCCCAGAGAGAGAGCGGATGAGAGGAATCACGTTTGTTTGCTTTTGAACAGTGATGCCTGTCAGAAAACAAGAGGCGAGGAGAAATAAGTAGTTATAAACAACACAAGAACTAATACAAATGCAAATGTTTACAAGGAGTGGAGTGCACCTCTATAATGAACTCAAAATGGGTGTTTTCTCGGGAAGTTGATCTTAAGAGTGACTGAATGAACACTGTCATGAAGTTGTTTTCCTTAACCTTGCTCCTGCACTGATATGAATGAAGTGTACCATCTCCTGTCCAACATGGTGAAGGATACTGGCTCAGAGGCCTACTTCCTGTCACTCCTTCAACACCTTCTGCTCATCAGGAACGACTATTACATCAGGTCAGTTCTGTTTGATCACTGGCCTTTGTTCACCGATCACCATGTGATGCTTTCTTTGTTTGTTTTTAACAGTAGATGTGAAACACCTCCTGCAGCACTCTGAACATGTTTTACTTACAGGAAGTAGTAATTGCCTCTGTGGGTCTGTTTGTTTGACTTTGACAACATAAAAGTAAAAGGCTGGTAGACATTTGTTGTGTACATTTATCCTCCCAAAAGTAAGAGATGTTTGGAAGCCAAACTTGACCAACTTTTATACTACCGTTACCTTCTGTCATTTACCCAGAGCTGCTGCCTGCGAAAGCAACATTTATTAGCTCGGCCCTCTTATTCAATAATTCAATTAAACAGTCTGACTGATGAGTAGTAAACATAAAATACATTGTACAAAATACATACAATATGGTAAACAAATGTATATATAAATATATATATATATATGCGCTAACACCCGAAGCAAAGCAATGTGGATCAGCTGGCAAATGATAGAGTCGGGATGATATTCTGTATTTTGGAATTATTAGGTCATTTTAAACTGGTCTACTTTTCCTTTGAAGAGTAAATGTGTCATTCACTGGGCAGTAGCGCCACCATTCCTCCAAATGGAGTGACACTGATGAATTCCCAGCTGTGTCGGACCTTTTTGTAGAAAAAATAAATAAAATTAAATAAAAAAAAATGTTGGAAGGGGGAGGCAGGATGCAAGGAAGAAGATGAATTTACCATAGACAAGTTGCTGCTCCCTTGGAGTTATGAATAATGTATTCCACATCTATTCGTAGGAAGTGAGAAATAGAATTCGCATTAACCAGCTAGTACAGCCACGTCCACCTCGGCTCCAGTGTCCATGTACCCCTCTGTGAGACAGCAATAACAAGGGATCACATACCAGCGCTCATACAAAAAATGATGGTCTTTTTAAAGATGTGTTTTTGAAATATTTTTTTCCCACCTCCATCACAAATGCAAGGACAAACCCACACATCTGCACACACATGCATTAACACCAGGCATTATTTCTGACTGAGGTATTTTTCCCCCATACATCAATGATGTGTGACGATGGATGATGCAGTACTACAGTACATGCAGCTATTTCCAATACATACTATCTATCTTTTTCAGTCTTTGCCTTCAAAGTTACCATCTCTTCATGCAGTGGTCAAAACCGTGTGCATGTGAAATAGTACTAATACATCACAGTAGTAGTGTCGTATATCTATAATGTTTTGTCAACCATAGCAATGCACGGCTGTAGTTTAAATTGTTTAATCGTAGGTTAGAAATGTTATGTTTTGTGTTACAGACTTTGGCTTTGTGATCCAAGGATATCCTGTATTCATTAAACGATTATGTTGTTTTGATCATAGTCTTTATTGGAATTGATAGCACACTTGGTTCCTGTGTCAAATGATAATCCACATCAAATGATAATTAATTGAATAATATAATACGTATTCTAATAATAAGAAGGTCTGCAGTGGGCAAACGGTTTAAGTGCTCTGTCTCCTGTCATTCCTCGTAACACAACATTAGTTGTTGCGCTCCCCTCCGGGGCTTGGTTTATTTTTGATAATTAATCTCTCACTGCAAGCGTAATGAATGGGAGCACATCAAACCCACCCAGTAAATGTAGAGCAGATCTGCTCTTTTTGGAGTCTAGTGATATGGGGATTACACTGGTTATGTGGAGCAGAGCTGGATCAAGTGGCTGGGGCTGGGCTGAACTGCAAGCTATCATTGGAAGGAACGAAGGTGCCAGAGTAAAAGACGAGGTGGGATATGATGCAGGGGACATACGCTTGCTTCTGGAGCCCGGCCCTGCCCACTGTGGAGGGGCCTGACAGTTCTGGGTCACTCTCTCCGTCTCTAGTTATCTCCACCCAGTCACTATCTGCTCGGTGGTGTCGGAGGATGGAGGACGAAGGGAAAATAGGGCGGCTTATTGAGATAATAATATGGTGTACATCGGTTGACAGTTGTAAGCCGAGTGCCACAGTGCTTAAGCCATGCAGGGCGATGTGTGAGCTTTCTCCAGCTTGTTCCAATCACGAGTGGGCGAATCCGCCAGCTCAAGCTTAATGTATGGCATTTCATGCTTTCAAAACAGTGCACCTAAATGCTGATTTATTCCTATTTGCTTTGGCTCCGAATTTTGTGTTCTTTCGTATTTTGGTTGGTAACGTGATGCGGCCTGTCCACCCACAAGGTAGCAACGGAACATAGCCTTTGAATTTATGGGCAACAGATAGTCACAGCCTTGGAAACAACTATTCCATGTAATCGTTATAATAAGTTTCTGTTTATCACTTTCCTCTTCCTTTCGACACATTATTTAATATATGTGCAATATTTTGGTATCGCACAGAATTAACCCACCTGGGAACAGACACTTTGCTCACAGTTATGACATTTAAGTTACGTCAGTGCATCCTTCCCATAAAGCCTTCATGCAGAGCCATCAGACGGGCAGAGCTTATACTATCTGTAAATTAAAACTACATCAGCTGCCACTGGAAGGATATTTTGAATGTCGTACTGGATATTTGTGCTTTGGGACTCAAAGGTAAACATCGCCTCTCCTCTGTGCCCACTAGAAACCTGCAATTTTAAATTCAGATGAAAGGAGTTGATGTGATTATTGAATCAGAAGCGTGTCCCTTCTCCAGCTGTTGGTACTGTATTATTCCTACTAGTAATTACTTCATCCCACTCCACCCCTACTCCAGATTTCATAGTGCTGTACCAGATTTGCGATTGCCCAGCCTTTCACACGCAAACTGCAACAATTAGTTGGTCGCGGCAACGTGCACCTGTGATTGTTGTTGTTTCTGGTTCAGGGAGTAGTTCTTTTATCATTTTATGAGGGCATTTTTTGTGAGCATCCTAAAAGGGTCAATTATCTACATCTACCTCAGTCCAAACCTCAGCTTCCAATTTACAGTCTTTAGAGGAATACAAAATAAAAAAAGGTGTCTTTTGCGAATTCAACCATCAATTTCTGGTCAATGTCATGCTTATAAAATACTTATTTCTCAGTTTGGAGTTCGGCTTAAGTTGCCATTGTATTTGCTAAATGTCACTTCCAATTAAAGTTGATAATGTTACCGAGAAAAGGTCACATACCAACCTGTGTGGCGGGAAAAGGACTCTCGGGCCGATTCAGACACCCTGCTCGACAACACCGAGCACTCAGTCACACTCCTAACTGGCTGACATGTTTTGCTGGTCATTGTGCTTTCAATTACACACATTACACTGATTAGATTTACATTTCACTTTTTATGGTTGCACTAATTGGCAAAGATGATTGCAAATTAGGCAAGAGGGCAAGCGTAGCCTCGGCTACCGTCTGTCACCTTGAAATGGACAGACTAATACAGACCTGGGCTCTGTGTGCCCATTAATCTGCTAATTTCATGATTGTGCTGAAGCAAGTGATCAAATTTAATAGGGTGCCTATTTTCTCCAGCAGCTCTGTTTTTTGACATGGCATTTTGTGACCTCTAGCTTGTATAAGGGAATCATTTGTGGTTAATTAGCCTTGTAGAGTTTATGTCACTTATATTTGTCCTGTGGCTTGTCTAATTGCTCTGCTTCATGTGTTCTGACCCCTCAGGCCTCAGTATTACAAGGTGATAGAAGAATGCGTGTCTCAGGTGGTCCTGCATCGCAGTGGCATGGACCCCGACTTTGGCTACAGTAAAAGATTGGACGTGGACTTCACCCATCTCATTGGTACGTGAATGAAATGAAACAATTGCTGCATAACTCCTCACTCATTGATTTAACACGTGTTGGCAAAAGTCTAATATGTGAAATAAAAGTCTGCAAGACTTGTAGTTAAGATTCTTATACTCTGAAATCATTCTCAAGATCAGTTGTGCTGTGTGCTGCAGGAGGCATATCACTGATGTAGCTAAAAATGTTTTGGTGCCTGGCAGTCATTCTCATTATACTCCCCGATCCCCCTGAGATTCTCCTGACAAACACCTGCAGTGGCTTGACATATACGATGGGGTCATCTCATTATTGATGAATAATACATGATATTTGGTCAAATGAATTCAGCTCGTTTAGAATCATTTTAAATGTAATTTACCTCAGTTACTCAGTCGTCAGCAGTGTTCATGGAATCATAGAGAAAACATCCATTTACACTGCATTGCTAATGGAGACTTTTTTTTTCTAACAGAGAAAATAAATACCACCATTTGTCTCTCTGTGGTGTCCCCAACAGTTCTGTGACTTGCCAACAAAGGGTCATTAAAAGTTCCTTACCGTATCCACAGTGGACTGATGCAGCAGTGAATAAGTTGTTAAATCTCACTTTTACTGAGATTTAATCAGGTAGTGAGAAACTTTCACGGATGTGTTTTGTTAGATTCAGACCCACGACATAGATGCCACATCCACACAGCTATCTGAATAATGCCTTGCCACTCTTTTTTTGTCTTTTCTGTTTTTAGCTTCTTTTTTTTCACATTCACATGAAGGTGATGTTTTTTGATTTGATTATTCTCTAGTGGGAAAATGTGCCTGGTGATCTAACAATAATTTACACTTACAGCTTTCACATTCACTACCCCTCAGATGATTCATTGACAGGGTGATTGTGTAATATGGGATTTGAAAACAAACTCGAATAAAACTGAAAAACTGAAATGCGCAAAACATTTGAAAAAATGTAAAGAACATATTGTAAAATTCGCAAAAACGCTGATGTAGTTCCGTATTTAATGCTCTGACTGATTTTAATCTTGTCCAAGATGCACACCCTTAAGCAACAGATAACAGCTCACAATGTTTAGGTGATGATTCCTACTATTTGGAGACTCTCTGTCAGTGAGAGTAAAGTGCAGAGGAGCGGAAATATTAGCACATCTGCATGAGCCAAGAGTTGCTCAGCATGATTGATTTCGCTGTATGTGAGGCGGTTATTGAACATATCGTGAAAATACTTTTTCAGAAGAAACACAGCAGTTGCATCAGTCGCCAAAGCTTCACATTTATACTTCTTTCCCAGAGTAGACTTTTTTTGTTTGTTTATTTTATTAATCAATGACTTTGATTAATCCTCCTTTGAAGGAGACTTATACGTATGTCCACTAACGAATTAAATCTCATCTGAAAATATACAGATAGGTACTTTAAATAGTATGTAATAATCGACTGATAAACCTTGAAGTGCCAAGATAAATGACTCACTTGAGGGCTGGTTTTCCTTCTCAAAACACACATGGCATTTTCAGGTATGGTGAAATTCACCCATGATCTATAACAATTTTTAAGAGCATCTTAAGTTGTAAACATCTTACAGATCTAAGAGGGAAACATTTCCAATCCTATACGCTCTAATGCACTTCGAGAAACAAGTCCTAGGTCTAATTGAAAATCCCACATGAGGAGCTAATGATGCACATCGCGCCTTTGAAGTGCCTTGTGACTGTGGCTTTCTTGTCTTGCAGATCAGTGTGTGGATAAAGCCAAAGTTGAAGAGAGTGAGGAGAAGGCTGCCGAGTACTCCAAAAAGGTGAGACATTAATCACCCCAACAGCCCCCCTCGGTTGGCCGGCTCCCATCAGCAAAGTTTTTTCCTTCCTCAGAGCTCCCAGACAAGCTATTGATTTTCCATGCCCTGATCAATACCTGGGTGTGACGCTACATGATCCGTATCAGCATTACAGGAATCAATGCCGATGCTCTGATGTATACTTATTTGTGCACACTGCTGGGACAGAGTTAAGTTATGTGCCGGCTCTTTCTCTCTTTATCTCACATTTCCTTTTAATATCATTAAATGTATTCATTATTTGCTTGATTGTTTGATTCTATTTTTTTCTTTATTTGAGAGAAATAACAGAATGTATTCTTATTTAAAACTTTACCTCCTGCATTATTTTGTACAATATTTAAATGTATCTTAAGGAGCCTCGCTGCTACACCAAGGGGGTCCTGGATGTTTTATTCTTAAGAGTCCTGTCCCATCATCCCACCGCACACCCTGCTGGGCCTCTGAAGTCATCGTAGCGACATGGCTTGGTTTCTGCAAAGGTTAGATCCATCAACATACATGAAAGCCAGGCCTGAAACAAAGACGCAGGACAACAGGTCTCTAGGGCCATGAGAGCTATGAATAGAAATTGGCCAGAGAGTGTAAGACGCTGTGTTTTGGTGTCTGCTGATGTGCCCTGTGGCTATTCTCTGGAGACAATGTGCCGCTCACCAAGCTGTGTGTTTTAACGTCTATCTTGATTTGTGCACGTGGAAATACTTGTGTCTCTTTATCTTGCAGTTTGATGAGGAGTTCAGTGCGCGGCAGGAGGCCCAGGCCGAGTCTCAAAAGAAGGAAGAGAGAATCAAAGAGCTGGAGGGGAAGATCCAGGCTCTGGAGTCCCAGGTAAATCCATAAAGAGAAACCTCACTGCTCTGCAAAACAGTGTTACATTCCCTCAGGGATCCTTCATCTTGTATGTTTTCCAAAAAAAAGCATGAAAAAGAAGATAGTGAAAATTTGTATGTCCAGAAGCTCTCTTAATCGTTTCCTTTTTCCATTAGAAAAAACATCTCATACAGAATGGAAATGTTTCTCTTGAGATCATAGCAATGAAAAGTAATGGCTCCACTTGAAAAAGGGGTGATTTGTTCGGAAGGAAAGCTTTCCACCTCACTTACAGATGTGCTGCTGCTGTAAGTGGGAGCTATCATCCATGCAAGAACATTTGATTCAATAAAGGGTCAATCTCCTTCTTAAGTTGTAGCTCTTTATATGAGCGAATTGCTCGATTGAAGCTTTCCCTATGTAATTCTATCATCACAGAGATGGATTGCATTTCTTTTCCCTCTCTACATCATTTCTTTCCAGTCAAAACCCTCCATTTTGAGCACAGAGAATGACTGCTATTTCCCCCTTAACCCAATTCCAAATACTTTAGCACTGCCTTGGGACAAAAAGGGCAGTTTGCTTCCCTGCTAAGGGAATTTAATACAAACCGGCATTGAAAGATGGTATGGCTACATTTATATCAGAGATTGCTTTTTCTTTCAAACATTCATCTCTGGTTGCTTAGGTTGGCACTCGCCATCAGATAAACTGCACCTGCATAGGTGGTCCGAGCATCACTCTTACTTCAGTCTTCTAGCAATCGTTCTCTGGTCCAAAACAAATGTTATGTAGTACAAGCTTTAGCTGTTGTCCTTGCCAAAGTCGCACGGCGTTTTTCTTCTTAGAACCAGGGCTGCACAATTAATCAAATATCAATCGAACAAGATTTTGCCTTCCTGCAATTTAATGAACGCGATCAACTGCGATGTTGACGTTTAAAATAGAAAACTTTGCTGCAGGGGGGCGATCGATCTGTTTTGGCTTTACTTTTAGGGAGTTGTCCTGCCTGCGCATACCCTGCAGCGACAAACTGTGAAAAACTTTCCTGAATGTTGTGGCTGCAATCCCGAGTAGATGAATAATATACAACAAAGAGCAGACGGGCAAAATGAAAATGCACAACATTTAGGTAAACAAGAACCGTTAAGTCTTATTTTAGTGCAAATAATTATTAATTAGAAGGAATGTAGGACAATGTGAAAGTGAAAGCAGTGCTCTATTTAAGTTTTGGGTAAAGGCTTTTGGTAAAATGTTCTTTACATTTTACTTCGAGGAGATGTACTGTGAATAAGGACCAGTCTTATGTTGAGGAATGATTTGCGCGTCAGCAGGAATTTAGAAACCTGAGCTGCCAGATGGTTTGTTACACAGATTTTCTCGGGATCTCGTGAAATTGCGAGAATCCAGCTGCCGTGCAGTGTTGCTGTTTTTTTTATATGAAAGCGCCACAAAAATATTCTCTCCCTAAAATCAATGAGTACAAATATTTCTAGATGAATAATTGTTTTCTCTATATTGATCAAAAAATAATCGTGATTCTCATTTTGACCATAATCGTGCAGCCCTACTTAGAACTCAACCTGTGCGTAGCTTTCGCGCTTGCGCCTCATATGCTCGTTACCTGCATTTGTCCCCAAACCGGTTCATCACTCACCGTGTTCCTGATTAATGCCCGCCTATTTTAACGAGACCATCAGAATCTAAAGCTCCTCTCCGCCTGCTCGCCCTTTTTTTTCCTCCCTTGCTCTCTCCTTCTTCCACCTTCTGTCAGAAGCGAATGCATCAGGCTGTGTTACCTTTGCTTGCCCTCTTTCCCCTGTTGGGGCTTTTTATGTTGTTTCCAAGTGTTTTCTTCCCCATAACATGCCTTCCCCCTCACCCTCCCCTGACAGGCCTCTGTCTTTTGAAGACTGACTGACTGTGGTGCATTAACAGGTAGTGTAGAGCAGGGGAGCCCTGGAGAGTCGAGCCCTCTCTTCCTCTGTTTTTCTCAATGCTCCTTCAAAGAGCCGTTACTGCTGGAGAGCCACACATCAGCAGGCATTAACCTCAGCAGGAAGATACGTCATTCGTTTGGCACAAACCTCCACGAATGTGGCCATTAGGACATAAGAATATCCCCTCTGCATCTTAACAGGACATAAATAAAGTGTATGCACAAAAGGGAGACACTATTGAGCATACATTAACTTTGGTTTGAATGTGAATCCATTTAATTGTTCAGGTTTATGGAAAGTGCAGTTAATTTTCACAGGCTTCACATGTTAATTTATTCTTAATCAGAGTCGAATTTTGGGCTGTAAGGGCTTAATGAGAAAAAAAAAAAAAGAAATCTTCTAATGTATGCAAGTTCTTTAATAACACTTCAGTTATCGCCTCTTTTTTATGTTAGGCAGGTGTTCACATAGACCATTAGATTGCTACCTCAAGCAATGAACAAAACAACAGTCATCCTCTCAGACGGTTGTGTTTGTGCTACTTCAGGACGACTATAGGCTGAAAGGATGTGTTTTGCAACCTAATTCAGGCTTGACGCAGTGTTGTAGAAGACCATTAGCCGTGAGAGCACAGGACCTTTTAAATCGCCGCGAGGACTCGCTTTCAGTTTGTCCATCAAAGCTGCTGTGCTATCGCGGCATTTTGCTGAATATAAATGAAGTGAGAGCTAACCCTTACCTTTCATCTCCCAGACAGAATTCCTGTCAGACATTAAAACACACGCACGCCTGAGTCGCTTCTCTTCACCTTGTTTATGAACCAACACTTTTAATGAGAGTCTTTGTCTGGGAACTTTGGCATTGTAACAAGAAGCCTGTTTGATGTGTCTGTTTGATTAGCCCACGATTGAGTTGAGTGGAGGTTCTGCCTGTAAACATCAACAAAGGACAGAGGAATCGCAACAAGTGGAAATCATCCACCCTTTCCCCAAACCTTTGCTTGCAGCCGTTCAAGCGAAAGGGAAGGAAGGTATTCAATGAATCGGCTCTGGATGTGATGAATAATGTAGCACTGCAGTGGTACATTGGAGCGCTCTGCGCCATCCCATTAATAGGTTTTAACAACCTGGCGGTCTTGTAGCTGACCCAGCTTGGCCCCAAGAGGAGCTGGAGGTGTAGTGGACCACTTTCTCTCTCTTTCCTTCCGGCCTGGCTGATTACAGAATTTGTCTCGACGGAGAACGACAGCGAAACTCACAATGTAGTCACTATTATAATGTGTGCTTTGCCGTTATGAGATAGAGCCAGTTCAGTTGTTCGGCAAAACAAATTCACTCATTGAAATGTGTTGGACATAAACGGTGGTCAAAAGAGCAAGACGTACTGTACTAGACCTGCTGAAAATCCCTCAGACTCGTTCTTTAAAGCTGAAACATCTCAAAGCCTCTAACTTTTAATCCCCGGGGATGAAAATCAAACAGAACTTTTCTTTGCTTTAAATATTGCTCTGTACGACCATTTTCTGAAATTCCTTCAAAATTAGGATTCTTTTTAAGTCACCCTGCTAAAGGTTTCCATCTCCTTTTCCAGTACAGACATTAAATATTTAGTTCTCTACAGTTCATGGTCGGAGGTGTTCTCCAGGAATGACTTCATAGAAATGTTGCATTTCATCTGCTGTGCAATACCTTTCCATCCTGTTTCTTTTGGCAAAGTCGCGCAGAGAAATATCAAAGCAAATGGGGAACATTTCTAAAGTGAAGACTGCAGTGAGAAATCAGTGGCCATCACACATCTAAGAGTGTTAACTTGAAATGTATTTTACAATGCCAGAAAAGGGAAATGTAAGAAGGATTTTGAAGGTTCACCAACTGTCAGTGATGCTGTGCCTTGTTCCTTTCATGTTGCAGTCAGTGCACTACACCGATGTTCTTTTGAAGGTAGATTACATCTTGTTTTAGGTGTAAAAGTACAGTACACTCTGCCTTCTGCACATCAAATAGCTAATTCAGACAAAATGGGAATATTACACTGTATTTGTCACTAACTGTTTAAAGGACCTCCTCTTTCCCCTGCTTGCCTCGTTTTTCGAACTTTGTTGCGTTTGAGTACTGTACCTGTTCCATTGTACTAGTGTTCTTCTTCTTCTCTGTCTATCTAACCCCCCCCCCCCCATTTGTGCCCCTCTGTTGCCCTCTGTGGCTGTTGTGACTTGTGTGTTCCCATGGTGTGTGTCTTTTTGTGTGTGTGCGTTACACAGTTAACTATTGAAAAAGACAAGCTCAAAGAGGCTCAGAGACTCATCAGTGAATCTGAAGCCAAGGTGGGTGTCCTCCTTGCATGCTCGGACTTTGACAAAATCACACATTCAATCACCTGCTAATCCCGGTTATATATTGAGTGAATTGGCTTGTGGTGCTTCAAATCGTTTGTTAGAGAGAACACTCAAAGTGATTATTGAACTGATCTTTTGTCCGATCTTTCCTTCTCTCCGCATTCGAGTCGCACTCCATATTATGCATCACATCGCCTGTAACTCGTCATATTTGGATATATGTGAACTGACTTGCGAGGGGAAGCACATTTCAAACTGAAATACGCTTTAACATACGATTGTTTTTTATTCCATTATGATCACCATTGTTGAACTCTATAGTTGTGTTTAACTACACACGTATCCTGCCTGTTTAATGCAATTTTCACAAGTATACACGTCGTGATTGATTTCCTCTATCAGAGATGAGGTCGGGGCAAAGATTTAATCACAGAGCATTCAGAGTTGATTACCTGCCACGCTGACCTCCCAATTGAGTCTGGAAGACTATGAATCAAAATTGGATGGGTTATTTCATATTAGTCCGGTTTTCTACTACACACAGAGCTCCAGATGGGCTCTAAAGTAACATCAGCCGAATAGCATCAAGGAGCTGGCGAGAAACAAAATAGACATATTTCTATGAGTCTCTGTAGATAGACATGTTTGTGTAGTTTGTCTCACATGTTGCATTCATGTATTAGTCTATCTACATTACTTGTAATTGCTAGTTCAGACACAGACATGACATGGACATATACCGTACATACATGAGCTACTTACACTAGTTACAACGCAAAAACTTAGTCTGATATTGTCCCATAAGAATTCAGTATAAAACTGCGGTTATCATTCAAAATACACAATTATTATACACTTTACAACATATGGATCTCTTTTTTTTTTTTTATTAGATGTTTGGTTTGCTATCCGAGGACGAAGAAGCCAATTGCGATGGTGTTGGATTCCAAGGGTTCAGTGAAACACTGGGCTCTCTCACTGGGTAGATGAGAGAGAGAGAGAGAGAGACTCGGAGGGCCCCTCAGTATGGAAACAACTGCGATCTAATTTAGCAGCTAATTTGCTTCCATTCTCTCATATTAATCTTAAAAGAGGAAGCGGGGCACAGGGGGCTTGAGATTGACAGACATGTAATCATTGGATGTGGATTTTCACTAAAGGGCTCTGGGTGTTGTGAAAAAGAAGCTCCTTGCAGACCACCTTCTTAATTTTGGCCCTAATAAACAATCCACCAATGCCATTATGTAATGAAACACAACGTAATGTCTTTAAATATGAAGCCAATTACATTTTACGCACACAATCAAGTGACTGAGGCAAAAGCACATTGTGGGGAATTGGGTTTGGAAATGAGAAGTGAAAGTGGAAATGCTTTTTGGTAAGAGCCGGCGTCTAATCACCTTCAAAGATCAAACCCTGTTTTAATGCGGGTGTCTGTAATTGGTGTATTTGCATAACTTTTTTCCTCTAAAACACTTTCTCTATTGGCCATTATCCCTGACTACCTGTGTGCGTTGTTTGTGTGATAGTGCAGACGTGTCAAAGGACTGAAAGACTTTGTCTTATCAGTCTGGGGTCCAATTACATCCCTGTCTGCTGTTTAATAACCTGCCATTGTGAGGACTCATGATGAACACTTGATGGGAAAGCAACATTCTTATCTATTGTAAATTAAAACAGTATTTGGTCACAGGTGTTTCTCCAACAGCTTTAGATTTACATACATAGAGAGATTAATGTACACAGCCAATTCACAACTCTCCATATAAAGCGGCATTTTGTTACAATATAATTCCAGTAGTGCTGTCATAGACCCAGATAAACTGGTTGTGTTTATATGTGTAAATATGAATTGTGGCTCTAATAAGCAACTATAATCAAGCTGCAGCACTTCTGCATTTTTGTGGCTATATGATTAATAATCACGTCTGCTGACATTGACGACAAAATTGCGCATTTTGTGACACAAACTAGGAGATATAGCAACTTACTCAAAAAAAATATGAAACAGTTACTCTGTCATAAGCTGCACAGGCCCGGATCTCATACTGTATATACTATACACAACCATTATGTCAAGACCCATGACTCATATGTATATATATATAAGTTAACTTGGCAACATACAGAAACATGGTTGGTAAACTTGTGATCATGATCTCTTTGGTTGGTAAAGACATGAAAACAGGACACGGCCTCCTCATGTGGTTTGAAGCAAAACTCCCACAGAACCTAGTAATCCTTGTTATTGACTCATACTCACAGTCAAAGCCCGTGGCCAGTTACTAAGATACCGAAATGCAAGCAGTAAAACTTTTTTCACACCACAGAAATGCTTCCTCACTGGCACAAAACAAAACAAAATATGGCTATTGGTGACATCATATCAATGTTGAGATTACACCAAAGGGAGCATCACTTGATTTGTAGGCCATCATTAACATTTCTACTCTCTATTTACAGATAGCTGCGGGCCCAACTGCACCTGGAGCACCGCCCTTACCGGGGGGTGCAGCAGGTCCTCCTCCACCACCTCCTCCCCCACCTCTACCCGGTGGCTGTCCTCCCCCTCCTCTCCCTGGTCACGCTGGCATTCCACCACCACCTCCACCACCTCCTCCTCCTGGTGGAGGACCTCCACCTCCCCCACCACCCCCTGGGTGCGGGCCCCCACCTCCTCCGCCTTTCTTTGGGGGCCCGGGTGGTCCTCCACCACCTCCACCGGTCATCAAACTGCCTTATGGACTGGAGCCCAAGAAGATCTACAAGCCTGACACCGTGATGAAGAGGGTGAACTGGATCAAGGTATGGTAACCTGAGCAAATATTCTCATGCGCACCGATAATATTGGTGATTTCCCATGCAAACATTTAGCACTGGCTTTACAGGATTCTTCAAGTAAACCTACATGATAAGTAGATGTGATGTTGAGGATTGGAACCAAAAGGAGCTCAATTCAAATGCACTCTAGCAATGCAATCTAGTCAAGCAACCGTTCAGCCAAAGGCTAAACCTGTTTCACATTCAGCACCCATTTCAAAAGATTCTACAGTAAATAATTTTCATGACTCAAATATCCTTCGATTTGCACAATTACTATAATTGAATGAAGACTGGGCTGTGTAAGGTTCCATCACATTTGAATACAGTTTCAATAGGACACTATCTTGTGTGGGGGCTCTATTTTACCGTAGATAATGTATCCGTTGCCTTGAGAGTTCTTCGCACTAATTTGATGGTTATTTGCCGACGCTTGTGTGACCTTGCGTCTTTGTCTTCAATTACTGACAGTAACCAAAACATCAGACTAGTTCTTCTGACATCATGATGGTACTGCACATTATGTTTTATGGTTTTAGTGGAATCAGGCTTTACACTGGAAAGACATTTTAAAAGTGACTTTTCAATGTGTTGAAGGCCATTGCGCAGTAGTTATCTCATCATGATTTTCAATATTTTTTCTAAAGAACAAGTTAACAAATGGGGAATATTTTGGTTTTATTATTTATTCAACAAGAAGCCACCAAATGACATATAAATGAGAGAAATAAATGTGGAAATACAAGTCGACGTTCACCATTGCATTGCAGGCAGCATGTTACAGGTGGCATTTCTGTCACCTCAAGGACTCTTTGAAATGCCATGTATGCAAATGCTTCTCTGTGTGTGGGCGTTTGTGTTACGAGAGGTAAAATTATGAATGGCATCATACAGCAGTATGAAATATCAACCAGAAAAAACAGTCAATATCAGTAAGAAAAACAACAATTTCGTTTTTTTCGTACCAGGTGGGGCTGATGTTTTTTTGTGATATTTTAAACATTATTAGTACTTTTTTGTGCATTATCTTCTTGGTTTTGCACATATGGTTAGTGTGCATGAGGTGACGTGCAAATGCCCATTGTCTGGGAAGTGTATGGAGGTTAATATGCAGGTGCATTGACCTTGCCTCCGCAGGAATTGTAGTTTGGTGATGCAAATTAAATTCATAACCACCTGAGGAAAAACAATCTGTGTCTCTTGTGTCGATTAAGTGGGACAAGAGTCGTCTGTCTTCTCTGTGTGCAGCAGATGGAAGTATGGGAGTGCCAGGAGCAACTATGATTTGGTTGTATAAAGAAGGAAGGGGGATGAAAAGATACTTGTTATTTTTCGCACCTACATACCCTATTTTATCTCTACCCCGTACATGTTGGACCAGAGTATGAATCACAGAGATTTGATAAAAAGAGGACCAAAAGTTTTGTGGTTACAAATTGATTTGGGGGTAGGCCTAATAAAAAAAACATCTGTGACTAATCCTTTATATTGTAGCTTCTACTGAAAGTGACGTACGTGCTTTATTTACCTTGGATTCAGGGCTTTTCTCGATGGAGCTGAAATGTGTCCAGAAAGTCTTTTGGTTCTCAGTGGTGAAGCAATATAGACGCTTTCCAGCACTATGTAAAGGCAGCAACAAGGTCTCCACCGTTTGTGTGGTCTCAGTAACATGCTGAATCAAGTCAAAAGACGATGAGGCATTGGATCCCACAGGATGGTCAAAATGGACAAGCTTATGGATGACATTTTTTTTTTTTTGCCTTTGCAGCTGCCCTGTTGATAAAACTTATCGCCAAAGAGTCTTTCTTCTGCAGTTCAGAGTCTGCAGATATCTTCTTTCAAGCCGGTGATGTCTCTTTCTTGCCGTCTGTAGCAACAGGCAATCCTTGCACGCCATGGCTTTGTCAGCTTGTGCAATGATCCTGTTCCCTTGTTAGAAAGGTGACACTCACGTTGAAGACCACAACTGATATGAGCGTGATGGTATCAGGATTTAGCAGGATGAAGCTAATGGCATTTCTTGGTTTCTTGTCTGGCAGTTGTTGTTTTTCCAGTAAGGCAAATACAGGCGGAAAATACAGCAGGCAAAACATATTTCTTGCTCTGATAATTAAATAAATCTGTAACCGTGCTTAACGGCATGATAATAAACTTATTATTAGACTTATTCTGTTGAATCTCTGAGTAATTAGCTGGCCCTTGAACGAGTTGAGTAAGGTCAAATGTAGAGGTGAATATATATTTATTTAGTGCTTCTTTTTATGTTATTTTACCTTATTCACAGTTCATACTAAAATCACTAATTAATCACCCATTTAGCAGCATGTTTTAATTCCGTTCTTGTTTTCCCACCTACACTGTTCCCTGTATTGCTCGTCACCAGCATTTCATGTTGGATGTGGAAATCACCTCGCTGGATTTTGTTTTCCACTCGTTGTAGTTGAGAGACAGCTTATACATAGAAGGATGTAGATTATAGCGACACACAACTGTAAATAAAGTAGATTGAGAACAGCTTTATATTACATATTTTGTAGCAAGTCTGTAATTCAGTATTTACTTGACTGAAGGATGCGCACATGATTTCCAATGCCCTTGTACCTGAGTGAATGGCAAATACAAGTCTTCAATAACTGAATACAAATATACCTTTTACGTATTTTGAATTTAATAATTTTGTGTCCGGCCTTTTACAGTTTTGTAGACCAGAAACATATTATAATGTATTTTAAATATATAAGGGAATTACTGCTGACTTTAACGATTGGGACTAGCTGTGGCTAGATATGCTGCATTAATAATAATCATTATTGTTATTATATATATATTATATAATCATATATAGTAGTAGTAGTCGTAGGATTAATGGTGGTGGTAATGTTTGAATGTAAAATCTGAAACATCACATTATTGAATGTTTTGCTACATCACACTATAGTGTTTCACCACTTCATCTGAATTAGGCTCTTACAGCCTAATTGAAAGATCGACTAATTTACACATGCCCTTTATGACTTGAGTGGGTGGTATGAGAGAACATATGTGGACGGAGGTCATCTACACTCAACACCAACACCAGCTCATGTTGAAAGTTGCATAAGCCTCCCATTAGCGCACCTATTATAGCACTGTAGGATTCTGCATCATTGCTCGACAACATTTTCACATGGACTTGGGAATGATTGCCCAGCTTCAGCGGGAACTCTTCCCGTCTGTAATTACTGTGGTTTTATGGAGGTTAACGGCAACAGTGCAGCAGGCCAACAGCTAGTCAAGGCCCTTGTTAAGAGCTCTCACCGTAGCACTAAACACGATGTACAGCAGATTGTAGTGTCACACACATTATTAGCTCCAGTAGTAATAACTGCAGCATGTCAGATGGGTTTGTTTACGTCTGAATATTTCTGTGCGCTCCTACTCTCGTCCGGTGTGGAGGGAATGAAAGATCGGGGGTGTGAAGGGATCCCTGTGGCCTGCTACCACCTCGCTGTGTGTGTGTGTGTGTGTGTGTGTAGGTGCTCTGCTTAGAGGCTTTGCTGTCTAGGTAGGAGGAGTGTATAAACAGATTTGCTGATGTTTTGTGCTGCAAACTGAAATTCACATACTTCATTCATTTCAGGGAGGTCATCAAGTGCTTTGATGTGAATAAATCAGTCAGGGTCTATCCACACGTTATCATTTTGACGCGGTCATACCCCTGCGATTTGTCCTCCCACGTAAGAGTGTCTTTAACCCTGCAGGCTCCTCTTTTGGTCCTTTTTGTTTGTTGTGCTTGCTACGGATGCACACGAAAGGACATGTGTGCGTCCACACAGAAAAAGAAAAAAAAAAAAAACGCACACAAACCCCATCTCAAGTGAGAAGAACTTTTTGAGTGGCAGGTTGGTGGAATGGCGGTCTCTGATTGTGGTGATAATGGAATCCTTGTGTCATTGCAGATAGTGCCTCAGGAAATGGCAGAGAATTGCTTCTGGATCAAAGTCAAAGAAGAGAAGTTTGAGAATCCTGACCTATTTGCTCAGCTCTCCCTCTGCTTCTCCTCGCAGAGCAAAGGTAAGGAGGCGTCATCTCTCTTCACTCTTTCCTTAATTAATCTACACACATGCTTCATTTAGCCTCTCGGGCAAGAGATGCCAAGCCACTTTCATCTTCTGACACTTTAGGAAGCCATTTTTTCTCTCTGAAATGGTAATTATCTTTAAACCAAGCACTTTTCCCACTGCATTTAAAACCATCTATTCATGCTCTCAAGTCAAACATCTGAGCCAATTACCCATCCTGATGCTTTTGCTGCAGTGTTTTTTTATGTTTTTGTGTCTTTGAGAAAGATAGAATGCGATGTCGCTGCACATTGAATGTGTTCTTTGTTGGAGTAGATTCAGATCAGTGTTCTTGTGTGTGCACGTGGACATGCACAAACTTGAACTGGTACTCATATGTGTGAACCGAGGGAAGTTATGCTTGGTTTGCTTCTTGCCTTTTCCAGTCCAGTAGGCCAATCTACCATCGGGGAAGATGGGAGGCTTTTTGTGAAGGAAGCTCTGGGAGTTTTCTTGTCCCGGCCAGTTTGTTTCTCAGATACACAACCAGGCTACCTAACTTGCTGATGAACAACAAAGGCAGTACAGAGCAAGTTTGTTTTTGCATGGAAAAGACGGTGTGTGTGAAGGCACTTGATGTATTCCTCCCATGGCAATTTGAGTGTTTTCCACTTCTTTGACAGTGTGTGTACATGTGTATAGCACACCCCTCTAATTCTGGCAGCAGTAGGAGGGGAGAAGTCAGAGCCCTGTCAAGCGCAGAACAGTCAAATCTGAGCTCTGTCAGGGTGTGTGGACATAACTATACAGAATCCACCAACTTTTCCCATATCCCCGCCGTCTGTTTGGACACCAGTCAAGCCCGCCAGCAGCTTCTTTCTCCGTCTTTCTCACAGCCTCCAGGTCTACAAACTAGACTTGACTCTTTTTTGTTCTGTGAAATAAATAGCATTTCTGCCTCAGCTGCCGCAAAGTGATTTTCCGGAATAATACAGATGGAAGTAGACTTTGGGTTGTTGCGAGGCTTAATGAAGTTGCAGGGATGAGCCTCTCTTCTCTCCCCGGAGGATATCTGCGAGACATTTTATATTTCAACATGTGTCGTTTCTGAAGTGACTGAGTCAGACCTTCATGAAACCTTTGCAATACCTAATTAATTGTTTTACTTTTTGCTCTTCTATTCGATTTTGTTATTGAGGGGAAATGCATTTAATATTCATAGTTGGTTAAGCAGCAAAGCAGCATGTTTGCAGAGCACACCTGCTATAAAAATACATTTTGAAATAGATTCTTAAGATTAAATACAACTTTCCATTCGGAGGTCCACAGACACATGACTTTAATTCAGCTTTAAATGTCCTCTTAGACTCTTTATTAAATTCACTTTCTCACCCACTGGGCTTTTTAAAAAAAAAAAAAAGGCACTATAGATAGTCCGTGTTCCCGTTGGCAGGGTAGGAATTCATGATCCAGCATTTCCCCTGGGAGTTACCTTTGCTGGATCCCTATCAATTACCCCTGCAGCGACTTCACTGAATCAGCTCTTTTTCCCTCTATTGTTAAAAGAGAACATGATTTGCTCATGAATGAAAAATGCTGTTTAATGTTTGATATCCCCCCCCCCCCCCCCGTCAGCGAAGTTGAAAGCCGATGAGTAGGCCTTTGATGTAGATGGCACTGTAAAAAAAAAGGTGCTAGATGGAATCTTCCCAAAATGAGATAGTTCATTTGTTTTTCCTCTTTCCTCTGTTACATGATTCATGCAGTATCGTCTTTCAAATGGATGCCATCTGAGGATGTGCAACAATAAGTGTGCTTGAACATGAAACGCTTTGTCAGAAAGATCCCCGCTTTATTTCCGTTTTGAATCTGACCTATTTGGGAAGTGAGTATTCCTTCATCTCAAGTCAAATTGGTTAACTGGTATTGGATGTAGTTTAAAGCGGTTTCGGAGGATCAGGTGGAGAGACGGAGTCTTGCAAGATTAATTCCTGAGGTCTTGTACTCTCATTGTAACCTCTTATTGTGGCCACGGACCATAAATTCTTTCTGCTGATTTGACAAACGTGTCACTTCTGAAAACCGACTTCATTTGTCTGCGGTATTGCCCCTGTTTTTTAATAACACACACACACACACACACACACACACACACACACACACACACACACACACTCACATACCTTCAGTACACGTTTGTTGTTGTATTTTACTACGCTGCCTTGTGGTACTTTCATCTTTGCCACATCTTCGTCGTGGATATTTATAAGTAAAGCACACTTCGGGGGACTAGTGTATCGTGAAAGATGAGGCAAGCAGGTGTAAATGCCTTCCCTGCAGAGCAGCCCTCAGAAATTGGTGAAAGAGGCGTCTGTTAACTCCACGTTCCTTGGGATTCTTGCTTGTTACTTGCATTGTTGAAGAACAACACTTTAGCAGTAAAAGAAAAAAAAGAAAAAAAGAATCACTTTAACAGCCCCCAATTTTCAGATGCTTATTACACTCAGAGGCCTCTAAAACAACCGAGAATGCAAGACTGTCATCTCCCCTGCTGCTTTTATGAGTCCCACTGTTTAATGAGTTTTTCCAAGAAAAGGAAATGATAGTCAGGAGGGATTTCAACCTCTGCTTCAATCTTCTAAAAAGTTACTTTTTTTCTTTTGTAATTTACAATGTGATGGTTCTTTGGCCCGTTCAATTCAACACATATGTCAGTTATTAGGTCTGAAGGCCGCAGATTAAGGTATAATGGGGACATCAATGTGGAACTCACTTCGGGTCAGCACAGGCAACCACGTGTTTAAAAAAAAATAAAATAACGAATTAAACTTGCAATCTAAATCACTGTCCATTGTAGCCGCTTGTTTGTAGCCAACGGTAATACAGCTCTGCAGAATGAAATAGGAATTTACAAGAAGCGGTTTAATTATTTTCACATATATACAATAAGTAATTATGTTGCTGTGCTGATATATCAACACAGCCACTGTGATTCATCCTTCCAGTTTAAGCTAATAAAACTCTGTTGCAGTAAAAATTACAATAAAGCTTTTTGTTAATTTACAGAGCAACTCGGTGATAAATCTTGTTTTTGAGCTTGAACGTGGTTCTATAGCCTCTATGCAGTGAGCATTAATCCTCTTTGTAATTGTATTACTCTCTGTATTCCTTTGCTGCATCCTGTTCTCGCGTGGGGAAATATAGCAGCCTTCTCCTGTGAGATGAAAATGTGTTGCACTTAAAGCTCCACCTCAGTCGCTGATGTCAAGGCAGGTATTCCACCTTTGGCACCATCAAGTGCTTTGTGATCGGAAAATTGTTACCACCCACACATAGAGCTGAGCGATCTGTTATCAAAGACACACATCTCTATCTGCTCTCCCTCACCACCATGGGTTTTCCCATTTTTTGAACTTATATACGGGACATTAAATAGACCCTATATATCAACGTGGCGACGTCATCGAGTTATTTCATTTCCATAAAAACAGTTTTTACCCTTTTGCTTTCTTTTCTTTGTCCTTTCTCCTCTTCTCTGCCTTCGCTTGACTGTATCGGCTTATTTCTTTTTTCTTTATGCTCTTCTCCATTGACTTGGCGCTCCCTTTTTCTTCTTTTACCCTCATCTCCCCTCAGTGCGCTTTATCAATCAGTGGGTTGTGCCTTTGTATGGCTCTTGGGATCAAATCAGATTCACTTCGGGATTGAATGTGTGTAGCCATGGCCTGCTGCATTTGAAAGGCAATTCATTCAGCTGGAACTTTGCAGTTCAATTTGAAACAAGATTGATGTTGGCAAACTTCACACCCCCTTTCTTCCAAAATGTTTCCTCCATTGCACGCACCAATTGCTGATGGACAAAGGGCATATGCCACTTTGTAATGGCGATGTCTAGGCTTCTCAGCAGAAACAACACCGTGAAAGAAGGGAGGTAACTCACCAACAACTGAAATCCCTGAGTATACTGTATGTTTCGCTATAGAATAACCTAGACAATAATTTGTGAATATTAAACCTCTACAAATGATTATGCTATGAGGTGCATGCATCTATTTCGGGGTTGCAGTCATGTTGTAAACATGAATATATTATAGAATCTTTAAGGTTTCATCAAGGGGGTTGTTGGTACACTTCATGGTTTGAAAGTCAATGACAGCCATACTTCTGCAGGGAGAGACAGAGGCCTAATGAAGATGTATGTGCACTCTGAAGGAGGAATCAGAGGATGCATGCCACCCCTGCGAGCAGGGTCATTGGGACTTTCTTTCCCAGCATGCCTCCGTGTTAATGATGGCGAGGCAACTAATGAACATGCGAATAAGGCCGGAGGGGACGGGGAAACGTGTTACCAAACCAAACAGCACCTTTTGGAAATCAATTTCAAAACCGCTTGAGAGAAAGAAAGGAAAAGAGAGGCATCAAATAATGTTGTAGTGAATATCAAGGGAGTTCTTTGCCTGGAGAAGTTTAAGCAGATTTTTGCACACCATGTTTTACTGACGTCTAAATTACAACATGTGCAGTTTGTAACAGTTTGATTTGAACTTTAAGCCATTTATTTTATTTTGTTACTTCACCATCATGTTCTGTAAAAAATAAAAAAAGATATCATACTTGTGCTTGTAAAGGTCAGCCCTGGACAGGTATCTTGGTTAAAACCTTACTACATGTGATGGCTGCAGTCACCCAACCCCTCATCACATGGGATTCAAATCCCTCAGGAGTTCTCCTCACTCTTGACACCCATTTTCCTTTACCTCTGTCCCTACAACTCCACACACACACATCCTCTTCCCACTGAGCCAATGTGCTGTGCACACCAGCATATTCTCAATCCTTGCTACAAAGCTCCAGCAGCAGGGCGGTAATGACCCTGCCACAATGGCAGTAATGATGGAATCAGTGGGGGGTTTAGCTGGCTCTCTGACTCTCCCTAATAAGTCCCCTAATAACTCTGTTAACATCAGGGCTGACCCGGCCACCGGATCAAACACACTCACGCATGGTCAGCCA